TCCAGACGTTCCAATCGCCCTTTGTGAGTACCCTCCGCAGACAATCCGTTCTTGAATTATAAGGAATAATAACCCATCACGATAAGGGGTCGGAGAGGGGGCCATGGTTGGTAGAAATTGATTCCTTTCGTTGGGGCTCCCCCTCCCCGAACGCCCAATTTTGATTAGGGTAAGAAAGAAGAGCGGTAGTTGGTTGAAAACAACATTTCCATTTGGGATCCGTATTGAGCTAATTTGTATAATTAGAAAACAGATTGCGTTCAACATGGGTAAACAACCGGGTTGTGGAGGAATCCAAAGCAAACGTTTTTCGTAAAAAAAATTAAGCGCTCAAAATGTTAGTTTAAAAACTGCAGCTACAAAAATCCCAAAATATGCTTGCTTTTAGAGCATTTTTGGGGAAAAATACGCTATTATATTCGTCATGACTGGCTGGCTTTCAATATTAAATATAATTCATCCATATTTAGATTGTCCAAATGAAAACTTCAAAAATATTATAATAAATGGTTCAGTGTTGATCTTTGTTTTATACCAAAATATTCTTTTCTCTATACCCGAATATTGTATTGTATGTAATTATGAAGTATTGCAAGCCACAACTTAGTTTAACTTTTACATTGCCTTTGTTTATTTAAAGATTTAGTACTTAATTGTATGTACAATTATTCGAGTACGATACTCTTGCAAAATCATGAGAGTTCTAACGTTTTGCGAAAGAACGTAATCGCGGGGTCTGCGGGGTATAGAATACACCCCAGTATACGGAGGCATGGAATAAAATAATCCAAAAATTTTGAATACAAAGTTGAAGGGTTTTTATAAAATTACATCTCAATATTTCCTCCGGAATAGAATACACGGTTTTAATGAAAAATCGAAGAGAGTAAAAGCCAAACTCACTGAAGAACAAAATAGCACGGTTTTGTTTTAGGGACTTTCAAACAGAAGCAAATAACGAGTTCCTATTGCGTTTAATCCTGCGTCCACAAAAAAAACTTCTTCATGCCCTGCATGTGTTATTAAGTGGTGACATTAATCCTAGAAAGGACATCTTTTTGATTACATTAACAAGAATCAATGCTACATTATTAAGTAATTGACGATATGTAAAAAAAATTGCTCAGGGCATGAAAGTAGCGTTTTGGTTTTTACCTTACCATACTGATAAAATTTCTTGGTTTGGTGATACCCAAATTACAAAACCAAAACCTCTAAAAATCTAAAATTGATGCCCAATTATTATATATTAATGGGTTTAGATAGGAAACTTGCGGAAATTTACGCTATTAGTAACCACTATAGTAGTGTCTCGATATAAAAGTGTTCAACGCAATACGTAATGTGACATTCAACGGTTTATTCTTTTTTTCGGCGAGAAAGAACGGGGTTTGTGAATTTAATTCTTTCAATAGGTAAGTATACGACTTTAGTTAATGCACTCGTGACTGTATATTTAAAATTCCTAATTGACTTCTTGTAAATAGGGGTTGGTATAAACTCTATATCTTTTATATACTTTAAATAAACGAATTTATTTACATTTACTATTCTTACCGGGAGTGATTACCGCTAGGTTATAAACTTATGAACCTATAGCTATCAAAAACACACAGTGCATCTAGAGTGCATTTGAAGAAATCGACGTGTGTTATAGAATGAAAAAACCAATTTGGTATTTGAACCACTCTCTCTGTCTCTCTCACTCACTTTTTGAATGTTGTGCAAATACAGTTTCAGGGGGGAAATTATTCTTGAATTTAGTAGAGTAAACATTGATACTGATTCAGTTAGCAAAAACATGTAATAGAACATGCTAATCTTTAATTTAAGAATATTCAAAAAAACAGTTCTCAAGAGGCATCGGGGGATGGGGCCTTTTGGTATTTTGTTGGAACTTTAGAGATTTTAACCCCTTACATACATATTTATATATTCAAGAGCAGTGGCGTAACTTCATTTTAGAGGCCCGTCTTCAAAAATGTTTGGAGGCCCTTTCCTTATATTTTTAAACGATGTTAATCTGTATATGTCGAAAATAGTGTCTTGATTTAGCTTTGCTGATTTTGCATTTTGTAATTTATTGGTCCACAGGTCCATTGTAAAATTTAGCGTCACTGCTTTCTAGTTGATTTTGTTCGAACTTTAATTGTCAAACTTTGTGTAACATTTGCGCCATATTAATTTTAATAATATTGGCCAGTTCTTTCGATGTTTAAACTCGTTTAGTTTGATTAACGACTTCAATTCTTTGTGTATGAATCTGGCTTTTTTTAAATGTCTTTAACTGTTTCGTCCGAGCAGAGGTAAACGCTGGAGTGTTAAAATTACTTAGCGGCATTCATCTCGAAATACAGCTTCAGTGTAACTGTCTAAGGTTACCATATCCAGGACCTCCAGATACCTTCTGGATTGGAGAAGATTCTGCTAATTAACAAAGTATCTCATTTACTTGATGTAAGAGACGTCGGATTGTTATTTTTCACAAATGGGAAAGGAGTGGAGTTGCTTTTAAATCTATTTGGGTTGGGTACTTTTGAGCATATCAAATTTTGTATTCGATTAAAATCAGATTTAAATTATTCAAATTCAAGAGTCACTTCCTCGGATTGTTAATTTTTGTATATTGCAGATATTGCTCCAGATTTTTCACTTACATTTACCCTACGTGAACAATTATTCAGAATTTTCTTCGGACTGTAATAGTAAACTGTAAAAAAAGCAGGTGCATGGCCCTTCGTAAATAAAACATTAGCCAGCATTGCATTACGCTTTTTACGTTTTATCTCTTCCTTTAGTAACGGAAAATATGTAAATAATTAATAGAGCATACCATTGAAGGGACTCGAGACATTTTCAATTTTGTATAAATAAATTAAATTGTTTGTACATTTTTGCCGGGGCCCCTTTTAAGCCCGGGCCCGTCCTCATTGCGTACCTTTGAGGCATTGTAGTTACGCCACTGTTCAAGAGACCGACTTCATGAGTTCATGTTTTTTCTCGTCTCAACGGGCTTTCAGTGGTCCTTAGAGACCCAACAATCCTAGAACAATCTTTAATAATTTTTAAAATGTATTTAATGAATTTTTATGGGCCCTTTACGATCGTTCAATATCTCATGTGAATTTATTTTTTACATTCACGATTTTTTCTGAATGACAATAAAGTTATTCTTATTATTACTAATATTATCTAAGGCTCTTTAAGAGTTTTAAGGATTTTTAAAGGCTTCCAAGAGCATATAAAACTCTTCTGTAGGCCTTTAAAGTCCTTAAAAACCATCAAGCACTTTCAAAGACTTGTTCCCAAGAGTCTTCTAAAGACTTTGAAAGTCATATTGTATAGCGTTGCCCACAGTATTAGTACATGATACATATCTATTGGAAAGCAAATTTTCTTGATAGGTTTTGATCTGTAGAATGAAAGCATCCATAATATGCACTGATTACTACATCAGTAGATACTGTAGATTTCAGACAACGTAGCAAATAGCATGCTTTTGATAGCTTGATCGATAATTGGTTACAATGGGCAAGCCAATTCAGTTTGGGATCAATCAACACTCCTAAAAATTTAACTTGTGCGGGATTAATAACTCCCTCTGTGCGTATTAATGTAAAAATACATTTTTCACATTTGCTTTGGTTAATTTTTAATCTGTTATTTAATATCCATTCTTCGACATCCTCCAAGATGCGTGTTTCATGATTCAGATCCTGACATCTTCTCAATAAAGTGGTGTCATCAGCATAAAGAATTACCTATATCTTTGGAATGAGTTAAAAAAGTTAAATCGTTTATATATATTTAAAAAAAAATCGGACCAAGTACCGACCCCTGTGGTACACCAGCAGTGATACTTTGATAATTTGATTGTGATTGATTGAAATACACATATTGAGTTCGAGCACTCAGATATGATTTCAATAGTGAAATGGTATTGCCAGAAAAGTTATATTTAGCTAGTTTGTTAACTAAAATGGAGTGATTAACACAATCAAATGCTTTAGTGTGGGCCAAGAAATTTGCAATATAGAAATCATTGGCCTCAAAGCAGGTTAAAATATTATTTGTCAAGTTTAATATGGCACTAGACGTCGATTTATTCGCACGAAATCCATATTGACTACAGGAAAATAATTTGATAGAATCAAAATAATGCATGATTTGAACTTTTAAAGCTTTTTCAAAAATGTTTGAGAAAACTGGTGGTATAGACAGTGGTCGGTAATTGGTCAGAAGATTTTCGTCACCCCCACCTTTATGGAGTGGAACAACTTTAGAAACTTTTAACTGTTCAGGGTAAGTAGATTTACGTAGGTATACAGGCGTTTATTACCTTTGTTAATGGAACCAGAATAACATTCGTAAATCATTGAATGTTAATTCATGAAATTCAAAGGATATCGAAAAATCAATATAACGATTAGTAAAATAACTAATTGGATCTTTCTTCTGATCCGCAAGTGAGGCACTTATTTCTCACTAAATTTAAGGTTTCAGCAAACTCCCTAAAGATATGAAAATCGGCCTGTTCCTAAATTTCTGTCAAAACATTTCTTTTTTCGAATTTTAAAGGGGTAATTTTCCTTATGACACTTCCCCTATTATGAAAGAACTATCGAAAAGAGATAAGAGGAATTTTCTACTGACAAAATTATTATTAAACATATAAATGCGGATACTTGACTTTTAAAGGTAAACCTTTTCGTTGAAATCGAGCATTTTGCATTTTGTAATACTTATTTAACCAACCAATTGGAGCATGTTATGCAATATCTGCTACTTATTCTCAGAGCTACATTCTTGTTGTTCAATTTAAGTAAACAATATAAGATTTATTTCTCATACATCTTTTTTTGTTTGGTGAGAAAGTTCGGGATCGTGAATCGTGAATAAAAAGCACCTAACAACCTTGCAATTGACTTTTTTTTATTCTCAGCCTTGTGGTATTTTTGCTTGAACTAGATTATACACATTTTTAGATTGTACCTATAGCTTAGCTTACACCAGTATAATAACGTGTAGATGGAAATGATGGAAACCTGGATATTTGAAAATTATTAATACTCCATTACATAACATCTGCAACATCCAGCTAACCCAAGTGCGTGAAAATAGTGAAGTTCTTTGAGGTAATGTTGATTTTAGCAGAAAGGAAATAGAAGTTTGGGTACATCAAATTTTCGTCAGGCCTTTACACCTTTAAACGATTCACAGTTGACTATTAAGGATTTAAAATGATACCCAACGGGCATGCTACTGAAGATCTTCTGTTACAGTCTTCTTCTGTGATGAAGAGTGAGGGAGATAAAATCGAACTCAAGTGTGGTAGGTACCTATTTGATACAATTACTTACCTCCCTCCCTAATATTATGCTATTTCGTCCTTTTGTATAGACTTATGGAAACCATTTGTTTTTGGGATGATATCAGCTCTCTTAGGCGTATTGTTAACTGTATGGACACCATCGAACCTTTTGTTAAATGAAAGGTTACGTATGCGACCAGGTGAGTTTCAATTTGCCACCAATACTATTTATGCTGATAATTGGATTGTTTTGTATCAATGTTTTAGGTTTACCGCCATACGAATGGTGGGTGTCTCCTCCCGGTGAGATCCTGCTTAAGGTCTACTTGTTTAACATTACAAATTTGGAAGCATTCTTAAATGGTACAGATCAAAAGCTAAATTTGGATGAAGTGGGGCCGATTATTTATCAGTAAGTCCGCTTACTGTCAGTACTCTCTATGTAAATGCACTTTTCAGGGAAAAACTAATCCACACAAATGTAACCCATAACGATAACGGCACGTTGAGTTATACGGCCAAACGTTTCCTAGTTTACCTACCCGCCATGAATCACTTGGATCTCAATGACACGCTTGTTGTGCCCAACATTGCAGTATTAGTAGGCATGATAATTTTCAGGTAGTGAATATTTAATTTACGTACAATTTTAAGGGAATGGCTTCATATTTTGGGAACTCGATGTCTATAACGAAAAGTGTCTTCAATGCACTCGTAAGAAATTTAGAGTCGCGATCGATTATTAGAACTACAATTTATGATTATTTATGGAACTCTACTGATCCAGTGCTTGATATTGGAAACTCTCTTTTCCCAATTCTGGTTCCCGTAAAGAACCTCGGTATACTTGCAGTTGTAAGTTTTTTTGTATCTTAAATGATGTGTCACCGCCACATGTCTAGGTTTACGAAAAATTTGAACACAGGATTACTGCCTACATAGGCACAAAGTGCGGACCTAGCAGATTCTTCTTGATCGACCAATTCGATGGATCACAATACCTACCAGATCATGGCTGTGAGGAAAAACTGGTCAATGCAACCGAAGGTGTTGCGTTTCATCCCTTTCTCACAAAAAATGAAACAATCCTATACTGGAGGAAGACATTGTGTAAAGTAGTGGAGCTGGATTTTGAAAGTAAGATGAAACATTCCTTGTCCAACCCTAATACGTACAATGTCAGGGGAGGTGGTTTCGCACGGATTTAACGCATATCGATACACCCTTCGCAATGAGACATTCCGCCGAAAAGCGCCCGAACCAGATTGCTTCATTGGAGACCCACCCTTACCGAACGGCTTAATCGACGTTTCCAAATGTTTCTTTAACATACCAGTAGCGATTAGCTTTCCACATTTTCTGAACGCCGATCCCGTTACTACGATCTACGTCAATGGCCTAAAACCAACAGTCGAACAGCATGGATCTTTTATTCACATCGAACCCGTACGTTAATTTGTTACTTTGATTTCTCTTTCACCATCGTGATATCTAGATTACAGGCGTACCACTAGAAACAAGGGCCCAACTGCAGGCAAACCTTGTGCTTGGTGACCTATCCGGTTTTAATGAGGATATTGAACCATTTTCCAACATCATAATACCCTTGTTTTGTTTTGAATTTGTAAGTTTTAGATTAGTCAAGCGAAAACATAGCGCTTAACGTTTTTTTAGAACCAAGCGGGACTTCCTTCGCATATTTCAAACACGGTCTTCTTCATAGCCGTCATATTACCCTACTTACAGGTTATCGTTATAGTTGTCCTGTATTGTACAGGGCTGGGTCTTATCACTCTGAACGTGTACAAATTTGCGACGAAAAGGCAGAAAAGGTATTTGAAGGGTAATATAGTACAATCGGAAGAATGTAATATGCTTTGCAAATCTGAACTTATTTTATAGTCAAAACGAAAAGTTGGGTAATAAACACGTTTTAAGCATTTACGTGGACCACATTATGGGAGCAAAATCGTGGGAGAGAAGGGTATTAGTGTATTTGGGACAGGTATTGGATGGGACATTTGATGAGATTTGATTAATACCAAGACTGAGGCTATACAACGCAGGTTGTATTACATGAGTTGTCCCCTTCAAAGTAATCCTATACAGGGTGGTGACTTGCGTAACGCATCATAGGGATTTCAATGTAAAATTCGTAACATGCAATTATTGGCTCTCCAAATTATTTTAGAGCGAAAATGTATTAAGGTTTTTTGTAGAAAAAATTTTTTTACGCCAATCAACCGTATTAGTTTTCAATTTTTTTCATATAAAAATGTCAGATTCAGATGTCCAAAATATCCATACCCAATGTCATCAACTAATAGCTAACATCATCTCATACGCGTACCCGCAAATCTGACGCTTAATGTGTCTGTTTGGCTCAGGTGGTCCCTATACTACTATTGGAACTTGTTTAAGAGAGATTTATTTGAAGGAACCTTGAGGGTAAACACTGGAGAAACTTGATAAGAAAATGAAAGAAAATTTAATGGAAACTGGAAGGGCCCTTAGCCAAAAAGTCATTTGAGAAATTTGAGAGCACCTTGAGTAAAGAATTTAAGAGGTGGACAGGTGTTACTTGAGGATACTTAAGATGAACACACGATGAACTTGAGAATAATTTTCAATAAGTTTCATATAAACTTGAAAGAAGTTCGAGAGGAAATTGAGAAGAACTTAAGAAGAAATTGTGAGATATTGGAGAAAAACAATCTTTATAAAAACGTCACGGGTTTTAACTGGAAGAATTCTATGAAAACTTGAGATTAACTTGGTTTAAGGAGAAAGTGAAGAGGAATTTAATATCTGAACCTGACAGAGAGAGAGAGAGAGCAGAATTTGGAAGATATTTCAGGAAAGTTAAAGAGAAACTTGAGGGAAAGGCTGGAAGAGAACATGAGAACCAGAACATGATTAGAGGAACATGGAGAAGGCGAGAAGGAGAGCATCAGAAAAGTTTTAAAGTAACATGGAAGAAAACTTGAAAGAAATTGAGAGTGCCTCTATATAGATTGAATCGCATTGAGAATTTACAAAGTGAGACTGTAACTGCCATAAACGTCACATACCGGCCACATCAGTCATGCCAACTATAGAAAATGATAACCATAATAATGTATCCACGGATGGGGATAAGATTCGGCTAAATAGGGCTGTACCAAAAAATATATGACTGTTCCAGTTTTGTATCAAAAATATTTAGTTCAAATGGGCAAATTTTATTATGAAAAAGACATCGTACCCTCACATCTCCCTTTGACTTCAGACGCACCTACGTTCAAGATCATACCTACCAAATGCAACGACCACAACTTGACACAAATTACAAAGTTCGTAATCATAAGACCAAGTTATGCCTTTAACGTACTCACTACTGACGTGTAAACTTGGAATTAGAATCATTACTACATATTATTTACATTTCAAGGTAAACGTATGTTGCATTAAATTACCTTTAATAATGTTTCTTTGCGCCTTTAAAACCTACTTGAGATATTCAATTAGTTTTGCAATTTACCTACAAGTGTACCTACCGTTTAATAAAAAATCGGTCCCACTAATGGCTGATCCTTCAGCGTGTCATCATCGCAGTTCTTACTCATCATATAGTACATTAGTGTCTCTTTCTTAGGTAAGTAGATTTTTTTGTCAAAGATCTTTAATGTCTTAACTACCCGTGTCTATTCGTGTAATTAAAAAATCGTTAAATAACAATGTTTGCCTTGAAATCGTGGTTTCAGTATAAAAACGGTTTTACTTAAATATTTGTGTGGGTTACACACATGTAATCAGTTAGCTGTTAGATCGATCTAAATAACCAAATAGACATTAAAACATTGGCATTTTGAGGGCTGACAATTACAATTACGTATAATTTATCGATATACATATACCACCAACACGTGCATGACTTACATATATAATATGTATTAGCCGTACTAGAAACGAATTTTCCACGTAAGTAATAGTCTTGCTGGATGCGACCAAAAATGGGAACTGTTTATCTTTAATGGGTGCGGAGTTTTTCGGATGAGTAGCTAATCAAAACCCAATAGTGTGTAGAAACTGCCCAGAAAGGATTTTTATCGCACCAGTAATGCGAGTTATGGCGATTAAACATGCTGTTTTTACTAAATTTGGGATCATCTGACCAAATAATGTTCGCCAAAAAATGTATCATATACAGGAGTAAAAAAATTGGTACTTTATTCTTAAGCAAATTTTATATTCTTTAACCCTGCGTATATTGTTTGAATTCTAATTGCATGTAAAATGTTATAATTTTTTCACTGTCGAATCATGAAGTACCTACTTAGAGTTGGATTTTTATTTTCAATCCCACCAGACACCAAATTTTTTCGTCGAAATCAGAATTTATTTTGTACTTGGTTCTTGGTTTATAAGAAAAAAAAAGGTTATTTTGGACAATTTGTACGCGGAAAATTCAATCTATGAACAATTTCATATCTATATATTTAGTATCCGGAATCCGGGGATTCCCAAAAGCTTTTTGTCTTTAGAGAGTCCCACAGTTTCGAATATTGTATGTATATTTGTAAATATTTACTTATCTAGATCATTTCTCACCACATTATTATTTTTAATTTTTAGAATATTTTCCGGATTGAGAGTAGGATAAGCATAAAACTTATTTTACAGTAAACCATTGTCTACTTATTACTGAAAATAGAATAAAAAAATTGGAAACCGTTCGCGAGTTATTATGCACACAGACCGACGGACGCCCGACGGACAGAAACTCCAAATTCATGAACGAGCTGGATCGCTCGTTAGTAAGTAATGGTAAGCGGAATAGAGATTTCTCCTCCGACTATATTCGTTCCTTTAAGAGTTTAGGTAAAAATATGCATTCATTTTGGTGTAGTAGGCGTTGACAAAATGTCAAAAGTATTTGTAATAAAAAATATCACTCAATACGGTATGTACTTTTTCCGGTTCATAAAAAAATATGTGGTTGATGATGGTTTCTCGAAGAAGAAACGTCGCAGTGAAAATCTGTGGGTACGACCTTGTAGAACTTAAAATGTACTTACAAAAACTGTTATTTGTTTTTTTGATCTTTTCAAACAGAGTAAAAAAACGGATATGGTTAATTTCGGTTTCTTTCGAATAACTTCGGAATTGATCGGAATTTCCGAATGATTTTACTAAGCCCTAAAAATACGCAACTTTTTTTAATTTAACCGACTTTGTATCTTTTTGGTTTCCTATTTCCCCATGCTGTTCATTCTTATCTTGTACACACTGCATAATAACCGTAATGTCATCTTTTTTACTTCCGGTAGAGCCGGAAATGCCCTTAACCTTTTGTTTTTAAATGCACTCTGCATATTTTATTGTTACCGGACGCACGATAAAGAACTACAAGGACTGTTAAAAAAATAAGGTTGTTTTATTTGAAGGTATAAGAAAAATGAAAATAGATAATACTGCTAGCAAATTGCATTACCTTTGAAACGGGAAGTGCAAAAAGGGAACATTACGAATACCTTGATATTGTTAACTCTTTCCCATAGGGCATAGAGAGATAGAACCATTATTTTGAGGATTGGATTAGATAAAGCCATCCTTTCCTAATATGTAAAAACTGTCAAAAGTATTCAGAAATGCATACTCATTTTCGCAGTGAAAATACAAAAACCATTTCTTTGTATGTAAAGCTTCTTTTTTCAATCGGGTTCTGAATTCAAAATTTACTAATTCGGTTCAGCGGCTTACACCTACCGCGCCCACGTCTGGATTTTGTAAGTTATGGTAATGTTTAATCGTTAAATATTCTTGGATTTTGATTTTTGATGCAATAGCAACTTCTTAATAGTTTTTTAAATAAAATTAATTAGTAATTAAAAACTACCCTTTTCTCTTAGTGTAGGCTCCATTGGCAAAAAGAAAAAAGGGGAGTAATTAAAAAATTACTTTTGCAAAACTTGGCAAATTTTTATTTTTTTTTATTTTTTGAATTAGTAATTGTTACGTATTGTTCCATAGTCACTTACTTAAAAGGTAGTTCAAATCTTACATATATCTCAACAAAAGAATAAAAATTAGAGCATCTCATTTGATATAACGAAGTGCGAGTTAGTTCCGGTATAGCCGGAAGTTGTATAAAATTGTAAATGTTGTAGCTGAAACGTGGTCGATATGTAAAAATTATCAAAAATATATATTCGCATTAGTTTCCTAGATAATAATCGACTTAGCTCGTCGTTGGGCCCTGTATATGAGTGTCATACACAAGCAAATTATTTATGCTGCGTTAAAGACATTAAAAATGGGCGAAACGCGCTAGTTACATTGAGTTACGACAATGGCGTACTCACCTCGTCCAATAATTGGTCCTTGGAGCGAATGTAGATTTGATTCCATCACAGGAGTAGACGTTGATCGTGTTGAAGTAAGCCCATCACCGGCACTGCGAACAATCGAAGAGATTATTAGACTCACGAAAGTGTACTCGCAAACGTGATCGTTCAATAGTCAGATCATTCGGTAAATCTAATCGAGGACGAGTTAACACGAACTAATTAATTAATAAACGAACACGTTTACAATGGTTTAATCACTCACCTCTCTTTAAAAACCAAGAAACTAACCTTCGTGCAATCAACAATGGGGTATAAGCACCCTCAAAGCGATTTACCTTGGAACAGAATTACTGATTGCAATACTCCTTCATGGTCAATTTACTACACGAAACTGGCATGGCTATGAATTCATAGCCATACTGCTTCATAAAGTAAATTGATCGACGTCGCGCGAGAGAAAATTTGAAAAATCATTGCAATCAGTCTTAAGTTACCAAGATAATAGGCTGAGAAAATGGTCATAACCCACTTAGGATTACAATACAAAGGTCAGCTAAAATGAATTGTTGATTTTCACTTTTATAGTCACTGTATGCACTATTCACTTTCCCCCACTGCTAAATACACAAAAAAGAAAATGCAGTAGACATGCTTAGAAAGGAAAAATCCTACCTTTATAAGGCTGCCCTTCTGGAATCTGAAACAAAGAAAGTATATTAAAAAACACAAAATGGCCAAATTATAGTTTTTGTTGAAATTTGTGAAAATACTTTATGATTAACTTCT